AGCTCCGACCCCCGCCATGTGAACAAGGGCGGAACACGAGAGCACTGTACCGGCCTCACGATTACCGTGATTACGGAAGAGACCGCATTTTTTTCCTTGTCTGCTTCAATCGTGTGCCGCAGAGGCACACACAGACAGAACGCGACAAGGTCCGCCAAAGAGCGTAGGATCGCCATGGGAACGGCGGTATGTGCGTGACGACACGTGGACCCCGACCATCCGGCGGGCCTCCCCCACCAGGGCGTGGGCTCGCGGTGCAAACCGAGATCGGGACCACAGGTTCAATATGGGCATCGCGTCGTCAAGGAATCTTTAAATTTCTCTCCGGTCAATAATCTGCTGCTATTCGGAGCACGGGGACATGCTGTATATATATCGTGCGTGTAGACACACTGCTGACGGCAGTGAAACGAGAGAACAAGGAACAATGAATCGAAGTTCTCGAATGGGGCAAGCGAAGGCTGTGTGTGCAAAGCTATTATTCGTGGGTGTGCACAGATATTATTTGTGTAAGGATAGAAATAAATTCTTATGTAAACTTATTTTAAATGAGTTTTTACATACAGAAAAAAAAAAAAGAAAAAGTTCAGTACGCCGCGACTGAACAGCGCGCACACCAGATACGCGACCGGTAGCGAAGACTCCAACCCGACAAATGGCGTTCGTTACCGGTTTATTGAAAGGAAAGGAAAACAAAAAACAAAAAAACATGACGCTGCGACACCGTTCGACAACCGTGTTCACGATAATGTACGCCAACTCGTGTTTACAAACAAACCTGAGCCACGCCATTGGCACCGCGCATGCGCAATTGGGTATGACCGTATGAGCAAGAATAAGAGGTGCCGCGTCTCGCATCAACAAACCATTGGAATGTGATGTCCAGCAATGTCGTACTACTTTAGTGGCCTGAGCGAAATTAACGCTAATAATGTGACATGCGGCGATTCATTGCGCGTAAACTCCGCACAATGGACGCTAAAGCCCGATTCACACGAGATTCTGCTCGCCATCGTCAGTCGCGACGTCGCTCGCGCTGCAAAAGCGTAGACAGTATGGCCGCGATAATCGACGTCAATACTTGGAAAAAAAGAAAAAAAATCGCGCGCGGAATTGGACCAGGTCAGTCAGGGCACAACAAGTCGGTGATGGCCACTGGAAACTCATAACAATGAAAGATCTCTGAATCTCCCGTTTACAGCGAGCATTTAGCCCAAACGACCTTCAAACTTAAATCTTTCGAAGCCTGCACTTATCGGAACGTCCGGCCCACTGACCGCTGTCGTTTGAACGAGCAGACGAGTTATTTGAAGGAGTTTGAAAGAGCAGACGACAGCTTGAGCGATCGGACGGCCGTATGAACGAGAAGACGCACTGAACGTCCGCGGGTGGTCCGGACAACCTGACGCGCATTCCCTTCGGAACAAAACGCATAACACCGTGAATTCAAACCGATCGGCTTCCCGAACAAGCAGTCGTGGTCTAACCGTGTTCTCCCCTTTTCACGCCATCTCTCCACTTCGTCGAATCGTAACCGAGCGAGTGAAAACATTTGAAAACTGATCTTCACACCTATCCCGGCCCTTTTGGTACATCTCCGGTCGCAGCGTCTTGACCGAGAAGACAGGTCCGGCTTGTTCCAAAACACAGGAATGCCCGTCCCGGATGCCAACTTCCGCTCACACCCCCAGACCGGAAATGCGCTCAAAGCGCCACGGCGTGACGTAACAGGTTCGAGTTGCATGTCTGTATACGCGCTACATTTCACACCATTAACAGCTGCAAATTAACGTGCATGGACGGGGTAACTCCCTTAAGGGTGTTGCAGCAACACCCATTAAGCCGCGGCCACTCTGCTCGTGAGACTATTTCGTGTGACGTATTGACGTTATGAAAGCGGCTTTATAGGGCGCTTCTGAAACTTTAAAGCAGAGACCCTGGTGATTCTAAGCGCGCCCCTAGATATACATTTTGCCCCCAGCAACCAGCTTAAAAAGCAGCACACATAGAAGCCGACACGCCCAGAGAAACGACAGATGCAGGGAAGCACGCACGAGATCCGATTTGCGACCTTGTTGCCTAATCCATCAGCTAGTCGACAATTAAAGGATACTCATCCACTGGCGAGCGGTTCCGCAAGTACAAAGGTTACAGGTACGTTGCCAAGTCCTCGTCAAATTTTCACATCAAGAGTGCATCGAAGTTACACGAATGATTAAAACGAGCGGGCTGGAATCCCGAAAAATTGAAATAGAAAGAATAAAGACAAGGATGTTGACAAACAGCTACACTCTTTCATGTCTGCATGGTTGTCTGAACGTCCTCGTTTTTACACTTTCCATTTCAAGTACTGTAAACGACTTAATTTTCGCGGGCTCAAATTTTTGCGAATCGGGCCAAAGCTGTAGATTTGAAATTATTCGCGGGTTCTAATTTTCGCGAATCGAGTGTAGCTTCCGTAGCGTTCAAATATTGCCTGAATTGTTCGCGGGATGCATTTTTCGCGAACTGTAGGCGATTCGCGAAATTCGCGAAAATTAGGTCCCCGCGAAAATTTAGTCATTTACAGCATTCGAGGAATTCATCTGTTAAAGCATCAGTATGTACAAGGATGATTTTTGCAGGTAGTTGCGAACACAACCTTCGATAAAGCTGTACGAGACACTTGTATACATGTTGTCGAACCCCAGCAGCATGCACCGCAACATTGTTTACACCCTCGACAAAATAAAAGCTGCTGCACTTTGTACAACCCTACTTCATAGCGATAAAGGGTGTGCTACTCGAAACAAGGGTGCTGAGGGCGTAGCCGTGGTTGTAATTCTCTAAAACAGTCACATGACAAAACAATTTTTTTTACGAAGGAAAAAAAAAAAAAGGGGGGGGGGGGGGGGGGGGGAGGGGTTACGCGTTTTGTCGGCGTCAGCATCGCTCCATGTCGAGACGTGTGGAAAACAGAACAAAAAAAGCTTCATGTGGTTGGGCCTTTAAGCCACGTCGCTGTGCGTGAAAAGTAACGGAAGTGGGTGGAGTGTTCGGCCTTGAAGGCGGAAGTGGCAAGTCGGTGAAGTTTGCGAAGAATTACCATCTTGATGGTAATGCGGGATCTCGACGTCAGCACGCGTTAAAACGCAATGACATGTTGGGTTCTGATGTGGACGCTTTGCGCAAAAGTCTGCGAGGAATCCGGTGGCCGTGCTTGGCCGGCGCTGCGCATTACCTCGGCCCCGTCCAATCACGGCGGTCCAATTCCTCGCCGACTTTTTCGTCAAGTGTACAGATTAGAGCTCCAGCTCTCTTGGCCTTGCTGCTGAGCGCGCCATCCCTGCCGCACACCCTTCGCACCACATAAGTTGTTTCCCTCGGTAAGAGCAAGTGGGAAGGACCACCAGCATGTTTCGATGATTTCACGTGCAAGAAATCCATACCTTTTTTTTTTTTTTTTTTTTTGCCAAAAAGAATAAACAAGTGCCCCTTTTTTTTGTGACGTAAAGAGTACGGGCGGAAAGCACGAACTCCATTAGCCTATACTTCCTTTCAGCTTCGGTCCGAGCGCGGCCGACGTTATAAGCCCAAGACAGCGCGAAAAGCGCAGCGTCATGGCGTGCTCTTTGCCCTTGATAGGACCAGCCGGCGGAAGAACGCGCACAGAGAGACGGCGAATACCGGCTGGTCCTCAACTGCAGAGAGCACGCCATGACGCTGTACCTCTTACGCCGTTTGATTGGGCCTTTCGGCGTTTAACAACGGCCGCGCTCGGACCGAGGCTGAAACGAAGCATAGTTAGTTATCGCTCGTATAAGGACGTTCCACTTGTTTTACATTCTGTTTAAAACCGACGAAACTTTTCTCGTTATTATTACACAAATATGATTTTATATTCACCATCCACGCTTAGCGACAGCGGACTGTTACCCTTGACGTACGCTCACACATGTTCCGGGACACTATCACGGGGAATTATTTGCAGAAGCCACGACAACAACAATATTCGGCGAGCAACTTTAAAGGGTAGTCAAATGCGGATTGGCTATTCCGTAGTAGGGATTAATCATGTTCAAACGGCACACGAGAAAGTCTAGCTGTAACTGCCTATGCCAATGTTACCGGAGGAGTTGAAGACCCCAAAAAATGATTATCGGGAGATTTAGCGAGTTCTGTGCACCCTCGCAGCCCGCTTATCTACCAGGCGAAAAATGCGGGGGAACTGGGCTGTGGGCGGAAGCCCGATGTATGCTCAGAACGTGCTCGGCAGCTAAGTGGATGGATGGATAAAAGGATACGTCTGCACCTCTTTAATCGAGCGGCGTCTTGCGCCACCTAGCCAAACCTTCTAAATTAATCAAGTAAACAAAAACGGCAAGGTGCGCACGGGCTATAAAGATAAGCGCACAGGGGGGCGTCTTGTCGTATCGTCCGCTGCGCACAATTTGTTTTCGAGGATATAGAGAATATAAGTTACACTTGTTAACGTAGTTTGTTGCAACATTATCGCTACGATTTATAAGATATCCGAGTTTTGCGGTGCACATTACAAAAAAAACAAAAAAACAAAAAACGTTTACCGTGAAAGGGGTGTGGCATTCCTCAAAATAACGGAAAGTCCAACAAAAATTTAGAACGCAAACTAGCTGGCGATAATTGAACATAATTTACTTTAAGACAAAACCCCGAGACTGGGGAAAAATGAAGAACGAACGCAACACACTAAGTGTCCGCGACTGTGTTCGCACTTATATAACGGAACACGGTACTAACTCGCGGTACGCTTCGGTACCCGCAGCAATAACAGCAGCAAGTTCAATTGCGCGGTAGCACTTAGTTTCAAACAACGCGCCTTTCCGGAACGACGAATCAACATTCTCGACACCGGCCGCGGGCCCGGGAGAGGAACTCGTGATTTCGGCGTGGGACGGGCACCCCCAGCCACCCCTTCGCAACAGTTGCGAGAAAAAACAACAACGAAAGTTTGCAGCATACATGACAAAACGAAAGCTCACCTCCTGCACGAAAAAGAGCATCATGGACACGTTGCCGGGAGAGTAGCACACAGCCCGCCGCTCGATAGCCGTGGCACACGGGAGCAAGAAAAGCGCTGCGATGATGCCGCCGAGCAGTGCCGACCTTCCGCCGCCGCCGCCGTAGAGCGTGGACGACGGCATCGCTACGGTCACCGTAATCCGCTGCCTAGGGATGTAGTGATACCAGTGATACCACCGGCGAGCTGTCCCGGGCGGCAGAAGCACGCACTCGTACTCGTCGCCGCCGCTCGGCCGCTTCTCCAGCCCACCGCGACCGAGGAGTCCGGAGTCGCCACCGCCGGCACGGAACGGAGCGGCACACGGCACGGGCTGTAGTCGTCGACGAGGAGCGCTGCACCAAATAAGACCTCCGGCGGCTGGCAGGCGGTCCCGTTTTGTTGATGTCACGCCGGAGGCTCCGCCATATTTAAATGCGCCCGTCGGGCCGCAGCCGCCGCAGCCGCAGGAAACGGCAAGTGGAAAGGCGGCCCGCGCCGCCGGGTTGGCGCTGCAATCGCGCCGGAAGCGGAAGCGGAGCCAAGCCGAGATCAGTGAGTGGAAAGCGCCAGAACAAAAAAAACGTAAAAATATTTTTGTCCGTCTGCCAGCTCGAAATCTAATTGGTCGCGGTGCTTTTATTTCTTTTTTTTTTTTTGTTGTTGTTTCTGTCTGTGTCGCAACTTTTTTAAGATTTGTTTTATTATGGATTACAAATCCGCTCAGTCAACTACGTAGTTGACTTAATTGCGTCAGTGTTAAGTTATATTTTTAATCCGTCTTTGAAAACGTGTGTTTTCCAAAAGAATGCAAGTAGCGAAAGTAACTGTTCTATATAAAAAAAGGTGACAAAAACGAGCTAGGTAACTATAGGCCTATTGCTATACTGCATGTTTTCTCTAAAGCTTTGGAGAAATACTTTATCAACGTCAAGTATATTTTTCGAATAAATGAGACCGCGTTACTTCATCACAGTTCGGTTTTAGAAGGAACTGTTCAACTGAAACTGCACTTTTTAATCACAAATAATATATATTGGAAAATTTTGAGAACAAAAAATTTGTTTTGGGGGTCTTTTTAGACTTTGCAAAGGTGTTCGACAGTCTTAGTGATGTGGTCGTACATAAAAAGCATGAAGCGTATGGCATCGGCGGACTAGCGTTGCTACTTCTACAGTCCTACCTAATATACCGCCAACAGTATGTAAATATAGACGGTTATTCATCCACTGTAAGGTTCATCACGTCAGGGGTCCCCCGAGGGTGCAAATTGGAACTTTTTCTATTTAATTTATACATTAATGATATGGTTAACGTACATAAGCTTGCAAAGTTCGTGATCTACGAGGATGATACGAGCATATTTTTTTCCTTCCGATGCCTGCGACGATTTAATCGATATGGCAAATCTGACCTTATCAAAGATAAAAAGTTGAAAAGATAGCAACTCCTTGAAAAAAGATATTCATAAAACAAAAGATGTGATTTTTCGTTCAAAAAATGAGCCCGTAGTGCTGTCTAAAATACTCACTTTTAGCTCTACTCCAATCGAAATTGTTATTTGTTTTAAAACTCTTGGAGTCATTTTTATTGAGGGTATGTCTTGTGATAGCCATATAAATTATCTTATCCCAAAGCTAGCTCGAGTGGTGGGGATTATGAATCGATACAGATCTGTGTTACCAACCTAATAAACAATTTTGCTTTATAAATCATTATTTTTCTTCCACTTAACGTATTGTCACTTTGTTTGGGGAATTGACATTTACCGATATTGAATAACTGCTTATGTAACAAAATAAAGTATTTAGATGTATATGTAACGTGTCACGTGACTTTCATACCGCTGATTTATTTAAGGACTTTCTAATAATTACTATTCACAAGCTATAACAATATGGATATTGTACTAGTTATAAAAGTGAAACAAACAAACAAACAAAGAACAAGATATACATGTCTTTTGGAAAGCCTTGTATCGCTAAGGGAAACTTTTCCACCGTATCCTACCCGTAACCCAGAGAGGTGGAAGATGGTCACGCAGCTAACAAATTATGGCTCTCAAATAAAAAGTTGCGCACTCCCGCATTTGTTAACAGTCTTAGCAGCATTGATCTAGAAAGTCTAACCTTTAGAGACTTGCGCTTATTATATGCTTGTACATGATCATTTTCTCCCTCAACATTTGCAAAGGGTGCTTTCAGTTTTGTGCACTAATTTGTTACATCGTTGCCTCTATCACGTTAGTATGTTTCTTTTTGTTTGTCTTCCCGGACGCTTGCTGCTGGCCATTGTAGGGGCCCGGGGACTCGTCAAGCTGCTTACTGCAGCTTTTTTTCTTGGGCCCCACCATCATAAACGATGGAAATAAAGTATTTTTATTATTTTGTGCGTTGCCGTTTCTGTTTGTTCATCATTGTATATGTTTTATATAGTCATGTTCTGAAGAGATAAAAAAAAAATAAAAGAAAGGGAAGCACAGTGCGCGCGTTGATCTGATGACTTTCTGCTTTCAGTGCGGTGTTCATGCACTGTTTGTGTTTATTTAACTTTCCGCACGTTATTTATGTATCTGCGGGGCTTATGTTTGTTAGTCTCGCCGGAACCGAGTTGTCGGGTATATTTTTGTTATTTCTTTTGTCGACGGGATGAAACTGCACCGGGATATGAATAATCGTCATCGTCGTCGTCCCGTAAACGAGGACTGTTGAATAGGCACTTTTTCTGTTTTTCAGAGGGAAAAAAAAAAAAATGACAGAAGAAAGAGATTTTGTCCAGCAATGTGTCATATCCTTTTTTTTTATATTTTGATCCTATATTTTTTAATCGGGTAAGGACGAAGAAAAAGACAGAACAGGCGCGTGAATCCGCGTCACTGTCGACAAATAAGTTTTTCAGTAACTTTTTATTTATTTTTTATTTTTAATCTCGCAACATTATGGTAAGTGTTAGTCGTCTTCAAGTTCAGATACACATCTAGCTAAAACCAAAAGCGCCTATAGACCTTTTCTGTGTACCCTCGTCTCCAGCCACATAATAGGCGTATCCGGTATGGGCGACGAAAAAATAATCCAACGTTTCAACCTGCAAATAGTAAAAAAATAAAGGGGAGGCAAAACGACGAAGTGTGACGTTTACGCTTATATTCTAAATGCCTTCTACTGGCGTGGCAAAGGCAAAACAATGTTTTCGCCCATACTGGAAGTGACGTCAATTCAAGATGGCGGCGCCCTTGCAGAATGGAAAGGAAGGTCGGGGAGGAGGAAGCTTACGGAACGCTTAAGAGGAGGAAATTTCCCCCTCTCTTCTTCAGCGTTCAGTCTGCTTCCTCCTCCCCAAACTTCCTTTCCCTCGCCCTACCTTCTTGAGTTGCAACAGACTATAGTGCATCAAGGGGCTTCGCATATCGATGTGTTTCCTGTCTTGGTGTGAAGGCATCACTCGACGCTTGCCACTAGAGCTCTCTTTACGCTGAGGTATATAAGTGCGTCTTATAACATAAAGGCCCGTTCACACTCTTGCAACCGAGTGCGACCGAGAGAGACCAAACCGGTTTTTAAGCCTCTTGCGACTTCTTAGGACCAGCTCCGCTCAGTGCATCCGGTCCCAAGAAGTCTTTCTCGGTCGTACTCGGTTGCAAGAGTGTGAACGCGCCTTAAGACACAAGGAGCTCGATTCTGTTGATTCTGGTTTTCCTGTCTTAAGGTTTCGTAGTCTTTTATCAACAACTCTCTTGGGACTTCGTATCTCCTCATCATGTCCTGAAGATTTTCTTAGCTGTAATTCTCCAATTATGCAACTCACAGTCGGAAAGGGGGGGGGGGGGGGGGGGGGGGGAGCGGTCGCAGCCGTTATTTCTGGCTCGAACACTGCGAATTCATTCTGTTAGTTTTATTTACTTTTTGCTGCACGGTTTCTCTACGAGTGTATATATCTTTTTCGTGGCGTTTTTGTCTATTTTCAACTTGTTTCCTGAGTTCCTCTGTCCCCGGACAAAACATACAGATAAAAAGACTACTTTCCATTTGCAGGTGTAGCTACTGGCTATTTCTCGTGGGTGTGAGTAGTACATTACCTCCATTCGAGCGTTCTCCGAATTTCCCGTCCAGATAATTTCGGCGTCGGCCTCTTCTCTACGTCGCAATTTTAGCCCTGTACTGTTTCTTTTATTTCTTGACGTAACGTCACCTCTCTTTACTGATCATCTTTACACAAATTATCTTTTTTTTCCTTCTTCGTGAACTGGTATAATCTTATTGAACATTTTGGCGAGTCCAACTTCGCTTTGTAATTCGGGACATGGCCCTCGAACCGGATTGCCGAACTGGTTTTTGTAGAAGAATTACAGAGAGAGAGGGAGGAAGAGAGAGAGAGAGAAGATGGAGATACACAATTCACAAAGATAAAGGGGAAGAGTAGGTAGAGAGAAGAAATGGGAGGGAGGAGGGGGCCGGTTGACTTGAGAAACTCCAGTAGATTGCTCTTAATTTTTCGGTGACGGCAGTTGGAGCCAGAAGGGAAGATGATGGACTCTTCTGAAGGACTGTCCATTGAAATCGCGGACAGCTTAGCACGCAGGACACGACGAGCATCCGAATATTCTGGGGCAGTGTAGCAGGATTTGAAAAGAAATGCTGGTATGAAAACACGAAGCCGCAGGAGAAGCGTAGCCTTTCTTCGCTCCTAGTCATGCCTGGTATAATGTGCCTGACTGTAGTAGACATGTAGTAGTGTGTAGACAAACGTACAGGCAAACGCTAAAGCATAAATGAGCATTTACCCTGCACTAACCGAAGCTAGTCGTGTAGCACGGATTTCAAGAGAGTCCGTACCACATGTCTGAGGCCGTAATATAACCTTTTCCATACTACAAATTCGTCCCGAAGAAGATATATGCCGCAGGAAAGTGTCCGAAAATGCGTATTTGTAGCATCGGAACGCAAGGAGGGGCACGTCAATCGAATGGCAACATAGAGAGCGCTTGCCGAACGCGCAGTGAGGAGGCAGCGAAGTGGGCGTTGTTGTATTGTTGTGGTCGGGGCGAGAGGAAAAGTACGTGGGCGCATTTGGCGGGTATACGAACGCACGAGGTGAACAAAGACTCAAAGGCAGTTGCACGCCGTATATTCCGTTTCATCTGAAGTCCGAGCGGGTCCAAAAGCCAGTTGGTACACCGACGGAGAAATGCAAACTTTATTCTTCGCGCTCGACTGGGTCAGTCGGCGGAAACACACGCGTAGAAACACGAAGAGTGCCGTGATCTAGAGCTTTTCGAGAAGCTTGATAGCCCTAATGGCCCGTTGTATTGATATATAGGGCTCGGACTTCGTTAAGATTAAATGGAGTGAACCTATATCTCTGGCACTTCCTGAAGACCCCTCTAACGAGTTATTGCTTCCAACTTCGGCCCCCTTCGTGTTCTGCTTGCGAGGGGTATACAGTTTGATAGAACTCCGCTACATCGAAAGATTTAACTCGTGGCAAGCGAAGAGAGATCGATAGCGAAGAAAACGTGAGGGACAGTACACTCTCGGCAACGTGCCAAGCCAGCCTCTATCTCGT